TGGAAAGAGATACTAAACAGAAATATATGGAAGGAAAGTGGCATTCTCCCAGCATTGAAATTGAGTTACCTTCATCTCCCTTCTCATTTAAAGGGGTGCTTTTCCTACCACACAATTATCCCAAAGGACTGCGAATTTGGGAAGGAGGAATTAGTCTTGCTATGGATGGCTGAAGGTTTAATTGAATAATCAAATGGTCAAGAGCAAATGGAAGACTAAGGTCGCAAGAATTTTCAAGAATTTTCAAGAATTTTCAATCCTCAAGTGATTACAATTTCCTATTCATTATGCTTGACCTCATCAATGATTTAGCTCAATGGTTTTTCAGTATTTGTTCCCCCTTTCAAATTTCCAAGATGAGAACTATTGAGTGGTTCCATTTTTGTATTGAAATGCTAATTTTTATTTTTATTTTTGTTCTAGAGTGGACAACTATTGAGTGACTCATTTACTTAAACAAAGTTCTGATTCTGTGTTCAGTTTAGTAGATGTTTGCAGCGCAAAATGCTAGTTTGGACCTTGGAACATAATACCTGCCAAAGTAAAATAAAAAAACTATGGAGTCAAGTATAAAATTGTCTAGGGGAAAAAGACAGAAATACATATATCATGTATGTGGACATACATAATATATCTACACCATACATATTGTCAAAGCCTTAAACTCATTTATCTAATCTAATTTCATTCCATTACTGTCATATAGGCTGAGAATATTATTCCTCATTCTATGGCTATCAACTTGTGGGATGATTCTTCTGCAAAATAGAGATTGATATAATGCTGAAGGGCCTCATGTTCATTATGGTTATATGGCGAGCTAAATCACTCTCAAGCTGAAGTTAGAGCAGTTTGTTTAACTCTCTAAAACCAGACTGAGTCTTTTAATTTTAGGACTCATTTCTCAACACTTGAGAATGTGTTACTATTCGAATTTTCAAAAATTTGAAGAATCTGCTTGATATTCCCATGTCTCATCCAAAAACTAAAGAATTTGGAAAGTTTTTCTCAATTCAATGCCAGGCATCAAAGTAACAACAGGAGGACAATGATCTGAACCTATAGGGGCCAAGAAATCATCTTCGATTTCTTTGAGAGTATCTTCATCCCAAGGGGGGATACAAAACAGGACTTCATATTATTATTCAGAAATTCAACTCTGCAAGTAATAATTGTTCAGAGGTTTGCAACTTTGAAACTTTTAAGTTGTGTTTGGATAAAGGATTTAAGGAGGTATTTGTGGAGGGGAAGTAAAAGAAAACAGTGTAAGAGTATCTCTTTCTTTCTCATTTTATTCTCATTTATGAATTTCCAAACATCTCTCTGTTTATTGTTTTCAAATCAGGTATGGGTATTCTTGACAGGTCTTTTAGTTGTAAGCTTGGTTCATTAATTTGCATCATTTAATTATACCATTTCCTAAGCATTTCTATAATGTGTTCTCAATTGGAAAGCATCTATTAATATGCATCATTCCCCTTCTAATCTGCCTTAAAGCTAATTATTTTGTTCACATTGTTTAATTAACCAATAGGTTCTTTGAAATTTCTTCGAAAACAGTGTCGGAGCATTCCCCAATATCCATCTTTTCCTCGATTTCAATTTTTTATTTTTATTTTATTTTCTAAGTAATAATGACCCACTCTTTCTTTTCAGGATTTTCATTTGTTGATTTCACTTTCCACTGCTTTTCATTTTATTTCCCACAAAGCATTTCATTTCGTTATGTCCAAACAATTTGCATTTTATTTTCTCTGGAAACATAAAATAAAACCCACCTCAATTGCAGATTCTCGGAAAGATCCACATATAGTGGCAACCTATGAATCTGTTTTGGAAATTTATTTTGTTTCTTCTGTTAATTCTGCTGGTGAGATACATATAGCTTTGAGCAACTCTCAATACTTGGATTCTAATAATCTCCACAAAATCTATATGCTATGACTAATTTCTTCCCTTGATCCGAACTTGCCCATATCTGGTCATCACCACAACAAATTTACGTATTAGAGAGAAAAAAATTAGGGACAAATTATCTTAGTTGTCAAAAGTGTCATTGTTGTATTTTTAGCAACGAAATTGAAAATTTCATAATGAATTACTATGCTTTTGGAACCAAAATTTTTGTCACAAAAATAAACCTTTTCGTACGAATTTATTTTTGTCCCAGAATATACTTTTATAACTGACATTTTAAAAAGTTTATCGCTAAATGTTCTTTCTTTTTTTTTACTTTTCAAGACAGTATTTTCAAAAAAAAATTATGATCATACATACCTTTATAGTTTGACCAGCAAAGTTACCCACTTCCATGAGAGATCTCAGTGAATACTATTACTACTCCTTGATTTGAAATTAATGCATCAAGTACTAAAGTTAATTCTAAATAAAGAGGCAATTTGTTTGGCTTGGCGTGTAATCGAATACTAAATGAAAAAAAGTTGACAATTTCAGATGTATTTTTTGAAACAAAATGGTAAAACCGTTAATTAAATTTTTAATAAGCCGCTAGGTGAGGTGACTAATAAATTTTTGAAATAGAACACTCAAACCACAAAGCTCAAATCTAGGAAGGTTGCCAACTTTTAATGATGTGTTTGGTTAATAGATTTGAAGATAGATTTGAAAAAGGAGAGGGAAAAGGTGCGTGAAACTCAATAAAATATAGGTATATTTTATTGACATTTCACCTACTTTTTTCTTTTTCCTTTCCCTATCCTTTTCGAAATCCATGAACCAAACACAACTAAATATTTAATTTTTCAGAAATTTGATTATTATAGAGGCACATGTGATGGAATATAGATGGTTAGTGAGCCTATGCTTTATCATACTCTTACATCTGTACCTATCCCATAAAAGAACTAGAAAATGATTTTAAAAACAAAAATAAAAGAAGACTAGAAGCCAAGAAGTCCAAGGAGAATAAAAATTCAGCAATATTAAACATTATTCATAAAAGGCCGGCCTCTCTGTCTCTCTCTATTCCTATCTCTTCCTGATCACATCCACCAATTATACAGAGAAATTAATAAAAAAGTAGGTAGCAAACAAACTGGTGAAATGGCCAATGAGATGAGACTCCATTATTGTTGATTTCTAATTTCTTCATAACCCTTCTTTCACCACTTATTTGCTTTTGGTCAGAACTTACGATCTTCAGCTACTACACATTTGCAGAGCTTCTTCAAACTGTTTGTTTGTTTTATCTCTGTATTGCTTTGTTTTTGAAGAGTTTCTGGCTTTTCATATCCTTCATAATTCCAAAGTTGTTTGAAGTTTGCTTCGTTTCAGCATGTTTTTGATCTCTGTATGCTTCGTTTCTTACCTTTCATATCTTTTATTTGCCAAAGTTGTTCCAAGTTTGTAGAGGTTCTGCCTGTTCTTGATCTGTGTATTGCTTCATTTTGACTCAATTTCTTACCTTTACCACCAAAGTCTGTTTATCTGTATTTTGCCGTAAACATGTTCTTCAATTTCTTACCTTTCCTTCTTTCAGAACAAACACCATGGATGTATTTGGGATCTTTATCTCTCCATTAATACAAGCTATGGTTGATAAATTGTCCTCTTATTTTAGCAACTTAGTGAGCATAGTGGACGTTGGCACTGGCATCCACAATCTGAAGAAGGCATTAGAGGATTTAGAGACTCTGTTGGCTGATGCAGAGAACAAACAGATATACCACAAGGATATCAAAAAGTGGCTTGAAGAGGTTTACCATTTGGCTTACGATGCAGATGACATATTGGATGATTTTGCCACTGACGATCTCGAAAGGAAGCTAATGGCAGAAAGGAAGCTAATGGCAGACGAGACGACGATCAAAAGAAAACCAGCTAAGTTTCCACGCCTCTCCGATATTGTTCCATTCAATTTAAAAAATGGGTCAAAGCTAATTGAGATTACTAGTCAATTACAAGAAGTTGCTACAAAAGGAAAAGAACTTGGTTTAGATAACAGACTTGTTGGGAGGATGTCTACAGATTTACGGCAGAGATCACAAACTACATGTTTGAAGGAGCCTCACATTCATGGCAGAGATGAAGACATCAAGCAAATTATCGAATTGCTGCTTGCGGATGCTCCTGCTGGAAACTTTTTTGATGTAATTCCTATTGTAGGAATGGGTGGGATTGGCAAGACTACACTAGCTCAGCACATTTACAATGACGACCGAGTGGAAAATTATTTCAATCTAAAAGCATGGGTATGTGTATCTGATGACTTCGAAGTTACGAGGATAACAAAGGCAATTCTCGAGTCGTTCACTCACGGTTCATGTAATTTTAGTAACTTAAATGAGGTTCAAGTTCAACTTAGCAAAACGGTGGCAGGGGAAAAGTTTTTGCTTGTCCTAGATGACGTGTGGGACTATGGACGTGATGGGTGGAATTTGTTACGATCCCCATTTGGAGCTGGAGCACCTGGAAGTAAAATCATTGTGACAACGCGAGACAGAGGTGTTGCAAAGCAGATGGGAATGGATAAATATCACAATTTGCACAACTTATCATATGGCGATTGTTGGTTAATCCGGACATCTCTCATTGGAAGAGGACGACCACTCCGCCTGTCATTCAGATGCAGGTCTGTCATATATGCTCCTTGTCCCTCTGCACCTCCATGTCTCCACGTTATGTTCATACAGAGGGAGAGGAGCAGAGTTGTTTGTCTCTAGTGGACCCAAGAATGATCTTCAGTGAATTGGCCTTCTCTAAGTTGGTCTGTTCTAGAACGGTTGTCCAACCAAGAGGTCCAACATGTTGCTCAACCCACTTCGGAGTGGTTCTGTCCATCCAGAAGGTCCAATATGTTGCTCAACCCACTTCGGAGTGGTTCTGTCCATCCAGAAGGTCCACCATGTTGCTCGGCCCACTTTGGAGTGAAGCTCGTACATTGGGCCGAACTCCTATGATTGTCTTACTTCGGAGCAAATGTTGGCCATAGGGCCGAGGTCCGACCTAGCTCCACCTTGGAGTGAGAATTGAGATTACTAGTCAATTACAAGAAGTTGCTACAAAAGGAAAAGAACTTGGTTTAGATAACAGACTTGTTGGGAGGATGTCTACAGATTTACGGCAGAGATCACAAACTACATGTTTGAAGGAGCCTCACATTCATGGAAGAGATGAAGACATCAAGCAAATTATCGAATTGCTGCTTGCGGATGCTCCTGCTGGAAACCTTTTTGATGTAATTCCTATTGTAGGAATGGGTGGGATTGGCAAGACTACACTAGCTCAGCACATTTACAATGATGACCGAGTGGAAAATTATTTCAATCTAAAAGCATGGGTATGTGTATCTGATGACTTCGAAGTTACGAGGATAACAAAGGCAATTCTCGAGTCGTTCACTCACGGTTCATGTAATTTTAGTAACTTAAATGAGGTTCAAGTCCAACTTAGCAAAACGGTGGCAGGGGAAAAGTTTTTGCTTGTCCTAGATGACGTGTGGGACTATGGACGTGATGGGTGGAATTTGTTACGATCCCCATTTGGAGCTGGAGCACCTGGCAGTAAAATCATTGTGACAACGCGAGACAGAGGTGTTGCAAAGTAGATGGGAATGGATAAATATCACAATTTGCACAACTTATCATATGGCGATTGTTGGTTAATCGTTTCCCAACATGCATTTCAGAACAGAAATATTGAGGAATACAAAGAATTGGAATCAATTGGTAAGAAAATTGTTGAGAACAGGTGCAGAGGCTTACCTTTGGCAGCGAGGGCTCTTGGCAGCTTATTGTGCTGTAAACAAGAAGAACGTGAATGGAAAGAGATACTAAACAGCAATATATGGAATGAGGAAAGTGGCATTCTCACAGCATTGAAATTGAGCTACCTTCATCTCCCTGTCCAGTTGAAGAGGTGCTTTTCCTACTGTGCAATTATCCCAAAGGACTACGGATTCACGGAGGAGGAATTAGTCTTGCTATGGATGGCTGAAGGTTTAATTGAGCAACCAAAAGGTGGAGACCAAATGGAGGATTTAGGCCGCAAGTATTTTCACGAATTGGTGTCAAGATCATTTTTTCAACCGTTAAGTGGTAACAAATCCGTATTCATAATGCATGACCTCATCAATGATTTGGCTCAAGATGTAGCAGGGGACAAATGTTTTAGGTTGGAAAATAATTTAGAAGGTGGCAGGCAGAGCAAGATTTCTGTCAAAGCTCGACATGCATCTTATGTTGGTAGCTACATTGATGGAATCAAAAAATTCAAAGTTTTTGATGATGCCAAATACTTACGAACATTCTTACATTTTTTTCCACTGAGTTTCCATGCAACGAGGTACTTGTTTCATGATTTGTTGCCAAAGTTAAAATGCTTACGTGAGTTGCGTTTACATTATAATAGCATGGATGAACTACCAGATTCCATTGGAGATCTAAAGCATTTGAGGTACCTTGATGTATCCTGTTCTGGGATTACAAGGTTACCTGACACGGTAGTAACTCTCTACAATTTACAAGTCTTGCTTTTGAAATATTGTCGTAAACTTCAGAAGTTGCCTCTAAACGTGGACAGTCTGGTGAACTTGCGCCATTTTGACATGACTGGAGTGCATATTCCATCATCAGAAGAGATGTCACTGCATATAGGTAAATTAACTAATCTCCAAACATTGTCAAATTTTATGGTGGGTAAAGATTGTGGGCGTAAAATAGGAGAGTTGAAAAACCTATCGCACATTCGAGGGGCAATACACATATCAAGACTGGAGAATGTCAGTGGTGTTAAGGATGCAAGGGAGGCCAATTTTATGTCTAAGGAGGAGTTAAAAGAGTTATCACTAGAATGGGACTTGGACAACTACCCTTGCTTAAAGACCTTTACATTGAAGGAATGAGTGCAATAAAGCGCTTGGGTTGTGAGTTCTATGGGCAGCAGTGTGGTGCCAAACCTTTCCCCTCTCTAGAGAGACTGAGCTTTGAGTTTATGACAGAATGGGAGGATTGGTCTGCTTTTGAAACAGAGGGAGTTCAGCCGTTCAGTCATCTCAGTGAGCTTTCCATCATAAATTGTCCCAAACTTGTTGGAAGATTACCAAATGATCTTCCTTGTCTCAATTCTCTCAAAATTGATGGTTGTCCGCAGTTGTTGATTGATGTTTCGAGCCTCGTTCAGCCATCACTTGCGTCCTTGTCAATGAATAATGTTATTCTCCCAAGAGAAAGCCATGTTACAGTTCTCAACTCCCTCTGTGATCCAAGCGCAACTGATGAAGAGTTACTGGCTAATGAAATGTCTAACCATTTGACTTCAATAACTGCCTTGAGCATTTCTGATATTGAAAAACTGGCATTCCTACCGGCATGGTTTACTCAAGATTTGATGGGACTCGAGAAATTGGACATTAGTAACTGCCAAGAACTCATAACATTGTGGCAGAATAAGGTGAGAATACAAGTATGTCTCCCCTCCCTCTGCCATTTGAAGATTTCTCATTGCCCTAAAGTCGTTTGCTTGTTTGAAGAAGAGCAAGAAAAAGGAGGAGAAGGTTGGAAAAAGCAGCAACATGAGGGGTTGCCTTGCATGACGAGACTCGAGTATTTAACAATTGAAGAGTGTGGAATGCTGAAGAAATTGCCACAAGATCTGCACACATACACATCTCTTGGGGTGCTTAGAATCCACCATTGTGCAAGTCTTATCTCTTTTCCAATGAAAGGTTTGCCATCTATGCTGAGAGAACTTAGGGTTTCAAATTGTGATGCTTTGGAGTCGCTACCCGAGTTGATGACACTCAATAATCTGCAAGAGTTGCTGGTTTCTGAATGTGCATCACTCACATATTTATTGTCAAGAGGTGGGCTACCATCCACACTAAAACAACTTGGGATTGAGTTGTGTGAAAATCTGGAGTCACTTTTTGTAGCGGAAGGGATCAAAATTGACTGTCCATCTCTTGAAACTATTTGTATCGAATTTTGTGGGAGTCTCAAATCTTTACCTGAAGCCAATAATCTCAGGAATCTCAGTGAATTGCAGATAAACTATTGTTATAATCTGGAGCCCGTGTCACTTGGTGGTCATGATGAGAACAACAACAACATGAACCAACTCAGTTCGCTTCAAAAGCTGTGTTTATATAAATGCAGAGCAGGAATGGTCTCCTACTTTGTGAAGGAAGGGAGTTTCCCCACCAACATCACTTCACTTGAAATCGGGAATTTGAGAGGGGACGACGTCGGTCAACTTCCACTTCCGTTAAAGTGGGGTTTGTATAAACTCTCTTCTCTTACAACGCTCCAACTTCAAGGCCGAGATTGGCCGTGGAGAGATACGGTGTCCTTTCCAGAAGAAGGGATGTTCCTGCCCACCTCTCTTCTCAATTTGACCATCCTCCACTTCCCAAATCTGGAAAGACTCTCTTATGAGGAGTTTCAAAACCTCACCTCTCTCCAAACACTTGAAATCTGGGGTTGCCCTAGGCTCGCGTCCTTTCCAAAGGAAGGGTTGCCTCCCTCTCTTTTGCTTCTATCGATCTATAACTGCCCTGAGCTTGCGACCTTTCCAGAACAAGGATTGCCTCCCTCGCTTTTGTCACTGGACATCGGGCGATGTAATCCAATACTGAAACAGAAGTGTAAAAAGGGAGAAGAATATTGGCCCATCATCCAATACATTCCCAATGTAGATCTTAGGTAGCCTACTACAAGGTACAAACGAACAAACACAAAATCTGTCATACCATTTTTATTTTGTATTTATTTCTTAGATTTTCATCACAATTGAGAGGTTACTATCTATTTCTTTTGAATCGTAAGAGGAAAAATTTAATTAGCTCAATGTATACATTTAATGACAATTATATTTTAAATAAAAATGACTATAATAGATATCCAGCAACACCTATAATATTATATAGAAAAAATTTTCGTTCATATCTTTTAAAAATTATGATTTAATTTTTTGACCGATGGGTCTTGGCAATGAGCTTCTGTCAATTGTTATTTTTATTCTTATTAACATTCGTTTTATTATTGGAAGTTAGAAGGTAGGAAAAACTAGTTTAAACCAATTTGACTAGCAACTAGGATGCTTTTTTTTTTTTTTTTTTTTTTTTTTTTAGGGCAAGGTAGTCTGCCCTCGAGCGTCTCCGTCTTGAAATCTAATATCTAATATGGTCTCTGCAACAAACAATGGATTATCTCTAGGGCAAGGTAGTCTGCCCTCGAGTGTCTCCCTCTTGAAATCTAATTTGGTCTCTGCAACAAACAATGGATTTGTGATGCTTTGATTTTGAATGGGTAGCAACACTGAGGGAGGTGCTACCATGCTTCAAAAAAAGAGAGCACATAGACCGAAATAACCTATCTTTTATGCCAATAGAGTGCACATAGATTTGAAAATTATAAGTGCAATAATAAATATAATAAGAAAATGGAAAGATTTCTTACATTCAACACTATTTTGGAGGATTTACAATGCTCTTCAATGGAGATTTAATGGAGGTCTTTTGTGACGCCCCAAAATTTGCGGACATCATAATAAGGTTTAAAACTTAAAATCAATTTTCTTAATTAAGAATTTCTAATCATTGTTACCACCAAGTTTGTCATCTTCTATTAATTAACAAAAATAGAAATTAAAGGCTGTGTTTGGAGAAGCTCTCCAAACACATTTCTACCCATTATATTGGTGTGTGTTGTTTGTTTACAATTTTCAAAAATTAATTCTACACTCACTTTTGAAAACTCTTTCCAAGGTGGGAAAATTTGAGCTAACCAGTTGTCCTCCCGGACGCCTGGTCAGTTGACCAGAATAGTGCTTTTTTTTTAACAATTGGCACTTGGTATTTTTTTATATTTTAAATAAAAAAAAATTTGGAATTTTATAAGTTTTGAATATAATTTTGAGTTGTGTGTTTGGTTATAAGTTGTAAGTTTTTGTATCAAATATCACATGTCACATCAAAAATTTACCACTCAATTCAAAACTCATTCACCAAACAAATTTTTCACACTCAAATCATAATTCTAAAACTGACAAACTCAAAATACAATTTTATTCTCAAATCATATTTAAAAAATTCTATCCAACGTTACTAAAGAAATCTGAAAGTTTAAATAGCATTTGGTATCATTTATAACTTTTTACAAAAAAACCAAACTATATTGCAAAATATATATCTAGAACACAATAATCAGTGTATTTGGTTTGAGTTTTCTGAATTAAGTTTTTAGAAAATTGAGTTATTTATTTATTTATTTATTTTTAGTGAATATTTTTAAAATTTTAAGCATTTTTTAAAACTTTTTTAGATGCATCTTACTTAGATGGATCTAAAAAGTAAAATATATGTGAAAAAATATTTTAAAAAATTAATAGATATACAAAAATATGAAAGTATATTGAATTTTCGTATTTTTTTTTGTAGTTTTTGTATTTAGTGAATTTTTTAAAGATTTTCTTTTCACAAATATTATACTTTTAAAGTGTATTTCTGTTAGATGTGTCTAAAAATTAAAAAAATTGCTCAAAATATTAAAAAAATTCAATTAAAACAAAAAAAATATGGAAAACAAGAAAGTATAATTTTTTAAAAAGTGTTTTTAGAAAACCCAAATCAAGTAAAGTGAATGCTTTTGAAACAAATAAAAACAAAAGTATAAGAAACAAGTATGGGCTGCTGTGACCGGTTATGGCAACGCCGAGTGCCTGTTGAACTTGGGTGTGACTGTTGTGACGAAGCTGTGGAGACTTTAGTGCACTGTGTTAAGGAATGTGACGTGGCGCAACAAGTATGGGCTGCTAGTTCTTTGGCTTTCGTTACAGGTATTGGGTAGGTGAGATTGAGAAACAAGTTGATGAGGTAGGCTTGGGGTTGTTCTTTGCACTGTGTTGGGGCTTGTGGTCTGCTCGAAACCAAGCTATATTTAATAATGTTAAGCGGGTTGTGACGGTGATTGTGCAGAGAGTGTGTGCTTATTTACAAGACTTCTGTCAAGTCAAAGCCCAAGTTTAAGGATTGAGGGTCTGTCCTAGTCCATCGAGATGGAGGCCACCTCCAGTGGGTGTGTTCAAGATTAATTTCGACGCGGCGACTTTTGGTGCTTTGGAGGCCATTGGGGTGGGTGTGATTGTTCGGGAGGCACATGGTAAAGTTCTTGCAGCCATGTCGGAACGACTTCTACATTGGGTTGATGCGGATTGTGCTGAAGCTTTAGCAGCGGCAAGTGTGATTGCGTTTGGAGCAGAAAAAGAGGTATGGTCAGAATGGCTTGCTAGATATTTGAGTTTAGAACATATGTACAGAAGAGTTTGAAAACTGAAAACCAATGGAAGATGATCAAATAATTTTTCTAAGAAAATTGGACAGATTCTGTCTCATTTTAGTAAAATTGCGATTTCTCCTCTTTGACTTATCCATTTTTTGTGAAATCAGTGGAAAATGAAAGATAACTCTTATATCTAACTATCCCAAGTGGTCGTGCAAAAAAATAATATTTTCAAAGAAAATGGAACCTATTTGAAGTCACTGTTCCTACTGTGTTGTAAGCAACACTTAGAACAAATATTTATTTCGGTAAGAACATGTTGTCCAATGATTTTAGAAAAAATTTACACCTTATAGAACACCTATATATACTCCTAGTAAAAATAGATTTTTGACCCAAGTTATTTTCAATTTATTTGAGCATTTTTCATCCGATAAAAATCTGAAACAGTGAAGAAAATATAAGTTTCAAGTATAAGTGAATCAACTTTATCTCATTTTACTCTCATGTAAGATTATTTCAAATAATGGAAAATGTTTGAGCACGTAAGAAGATAAAATCAATTGCTAAACCATCTAATCTATGCTTGCAAGAAGGAATAAAAATCATATAATCATGAAATTCTCATTCTATCAAAATGTAAACATGCATTGAGCTATTCTTGCTATGTATGTATTAACAATGCATACTCTTGCATACATTTAATATATAGGTTCAGTAAAAAAAATATTTAAGGAAGGATAGAGGTTGAGTATTCCTACCTCAAGAGCTTTTGCAAACTATTCTCAAGATTAGTTTTGAAATGGTGACCAACAAGCACCCTCTCCTCTTCCTCTCTTTTTCTTTTTCTTTTCTACTCTTTCTCTCTTTCTTTTCTCTTTGCTCAGCCGTAGTAGTAGAATGGCTGAATAGTGTTCTTATTTGTAGGAGTTTGGAGGCCTATTTTTATTTTATTTTTTCCTCTTGGCTTGGGAAATATTACCTACATGTATAGGCTTAGAGTGTAAATGTATGCATGCCCTCCAGCAGCCTTCTTGGAAAGGAGGGGGCCGAATTTCCCTGCCCAAAATCTGATTTCATATCTTTTTTTTTTTTTTTGTGTGTACAAAATAAAATCAGTTTATATATAACCTATTCACTAGATGTTTTGCTTCCTACTATCCTCTAACTAACTTAGTTATTATTTGTTTAAATCATTTAGTTTTCCACAACTGTATTTATATACAGTCACAAAAAGATAAATAAATTTATTTAAAGGAGTTTAATATTGGTATTAATCATAATGCTATTAACATTATAATTTAATAATTTAATAATCACTATTAATTGACTTAATATTGTTATTAACAAACTAATTAGTTGTCTAAAAATTCAAGTTCTTACATCTTCTATGCAAGTCTTCAATGGAGGAAATTTCACTTCAGACCAAACTCTTTAAGGGCGTGGGTGGGTCAATGTGAAAGTAGAGTTAATCAAAAGTGTGTGTGGAAAGAGGGTCAGTAATGTGTGTACAATGGTTATAAGTGAATGTCGTAATTGTAACTTTAAGTGTATGAATTGAGAAAATTAATTGATAATAAAATTATTAAGTGTGCATATTGAGAAATGATGTGCCCTAAGCTAATTAAGTGTGCGGAAATAGAATTTCCCAAGTTTCTTTTGAGAGCAATATGATCTTTTAATTAAATTAATAACAATTTTAATTCAAATAAGTAATATTAGGGATCTCAAAAGTTTTATTAAAATTTTTATCAAATATTTTATATGGGGTGTGGGACTCATATTATATGGGTCCTATATAGATCTCACACCCATGTGAGACATTTGATAAAAAATTTAGTAGAACTTTTGTAATTTCTACTATTTTTGAATTCAAATATAAGGTGAATTATACTTGGCCGGATATTTTAATTTTTTTTAATTTACTTTTTAATTGAATTTATATTTAAAATTATATAGAAAATAACACATTGACAATTACGTAATGTAAAAATATTTTATTATATATAATTCACATCTATGACATAAACTTAAACTCTTCAATATAATATATGTTTTTATATTATGTGACAGTTATTATGATATTTTTTGTCTAATTTTGAACAGAAATTAGTTTTAAAAGTAACCAGAAAAAAGTTTAAAATATAAAGGATCAAAGTAAAAAAAAAAAAAAACTTTAAGGACCAAAGTGAAAAATTAGTCAACCATAAAGGCGACGTAGTGTAATTTACCCTATTTTATATTTGATTAAGATAATTAGAAGTCTATTTGGATTTTTTTTTCGACTAAAATATAAAGTGAAAAAAAAAATAAAAAATTCAGGGTTTGAATCTTATAACAAAATAAACCTTAATATATTATTTTTATCAATTTAAACTCTAATTTTTTAATTTATTTTCAATCTAAACGATTTGTGTATTATTGTTAAGTAAAATTGAAAGAAAATTAGTATTTTAGATATTAAAGTTAATGAAAAATTGTATTTTAGACATTTTTTATACACTTACATTGAGTATAATTCCTAAAATGTAATTTTCCCATCATTTTTATTTAACAAAAATAGACAAATGATTTAGATTAAAAACAAATATAAAGATTAGACTTTAAATTGAAAAAATTAAAATTTCAGAGTTTATTTGGTTATAAAGGTCAAACCTTTGGATTTTTTTATTTTTTTTTATTTTTTGTAATTTTCTTAAAGAATTTTTTAAAAAAATTTCAAGATTTAACTACTGTAACAAAATAAATTTTGAATTTTGAATTTTATCATTTTAAACGCTAATATTTACATTTGTTTCAACATACATCATTCACCTATTTTTGTTAAGTAAAATTGATGGAAAAAATATACTTCAGTCATTAAACTCAATATTAGTGTACATAACATGCCTAAAATATACTTTTTCCGTTGAATTTTTTTTTCCAACTAAAATATAAAGTGAAAAATTGCAAAAATAAAAATAAAAAAAATTCAGGGTTTGAATCATATAACATTAATATTTTATTTTTATCAATTTAAACTCTAATTTTTTAATTTATTTTCAATCTAAGCGATTTGTGTATTTTTGTTAAGTAAAATTGACAGAAAAATAGTATTTTAGATATTAAATTTAATAAAAATTGTATTTTAGACATTTTTTATACACTTACATTGAGTATAATTCCTAAAATATAATTTTTCCATCATTTTTATTTAACAAAAATAGACAAATGATTTAGATTAAAAACAAATATAAAGATTAGACTTTAAATTGACAAAATTAAAATTTGAGAGTTTATTTTTGTTATAAAAGTCAAACCTTATGATTTTTTTTTTTTTTTGTAATTTTCTCAAAGAATTATTTTATAAAATTTCAAGATTTAACTATTGCAACAAAATAAATTTTGAATTTTGAATTTTATCATTTTAAACCCTAATATTTTCATTTATTTCAATATAAATCATTCGCCTATTTTTGTTAAGTAAAATTGACCGAAAAAATATACTTTAGTCATTAAACTCAAAATTAGTGTACAAAACATGCCTAAAATATACTTTTTCCGTTGGGTTTTTTTTTCCGATTAAAATATAAAGTGAAAAAAATTGCAAAATAAAAAATAAAAAAAAATTCAGGGTATGAATCTTATAACAAAACAAACCTTAATATTTTATTTTTATCAATTTAAACTCTAATTCTTTAATTTATTTTCAATCTAAACGATTTGTGTATTTTTGTTAAGTAAAATTGACAGAAAAATAGTATTTTAGATATTAAATTTAATAAAAATTGTATTTTAGACATTTTTTATATTTATTTTCTCTGGAAACATAAAATAAAACCCACCTCAATTGTAGATTCTCGGAAAGATCCACATATAGTGGCAACCTATGAATCTGTTTTGGAAATTTATTTTGTTTCTTCTGTTAATTCTGCTGGTGAGATACATATAGCTTTGAGCAACTCTCAATATTTGGATTCTAATAATCTCCACAAAATCTATATGCTATGACTAATTTCTTCCCTTGATCCGAACTTGCCCATATCTGGTCATCACCACAACAAATTTACGTATTAGAGAGAAAAAATTAGGGACAAATTATCTTAGTTGCCAAAAGTGTCGTTGTATTTTTAGGAACGAAACTGAAAATTTCTTAATGAATTACTATGCTTTTGGAACCAAAATTTTCGTCACAAAAATAAACCTTTTCGTATGAATTTATTTTTGTCCCTGAATATACTTTTATAAGTGACATTTTAAAAAGTTTATCGCTAAATGTTCTTTCCTTTTTTTACTTTTCAAGACAGTATTTTCAAAAAAAATTATGATCATATATACCTTTATAGTTTGACCAGCAAAGTTCACCACTTCCATGAGAGATCTCAGTGAATACCATTACTACTCCTTGATTTGAAATTAATGCATCAAGTACTAAAGTTAATTCTGAATAAAGAGGCAATTTGTTTGGCTTGGCGTGTAATCGAATACTAAATGAAAAAAAGTTGACAATTTGAGATGTATTTTTTGAAACAAAATGGTAAAACCGTTAATTAAATTTTTAATAAGCCGCTAAGTGAGGTGACTAATAAATTATTGAAATAGAACACTCAGACCACAAAGCTCAAATCTAGGAAGGTTGCCAACTTTTAATGATGTGTTTGGTTCATAGATTTGAAGATAGATTTGAAAAAGGAGAGGGAAAAGTTGCGTGAAACTCAATAAAATATAGGTATATTTTATTGACATTTCATTTACTTTTTTCCTTTTCCTTTCCCTATTCTTTCCGAAATGCATGAACCAAACACAACTAAATGTTTAATTTTTCAGAAATTTGATTATTGTAGAGGCACATGTGATGGAATATAGATGGTTAGTGAGCCTATGCTTTATCATACTCTTACATTTGTACCTATCCCATAAAAGAACTAGAAAATGATTTTAAAAACAAAAATAAAAAAAGATTAGAAGCCAAGAAGTCCAAGGAGAATAAAAATTCAGCAATATTAAACATTATTCATAAAAGGCCGGCCTCTCTGTCTCTCTCTATTCCTATCTCTTCCTGATCACATCCACCAATTATACAGAGAAATTAATAAAAAAGTAGGTAGCAAACAAACTGGTGAAATGGCCAATGAGATGAGACTCCATTATTGTTGATTTCTAATTTCTTCATAACCCTTCTTTCACCACTTATTTGCTTTTGGTCAAAACTTACAATCTTCAGCTACTACACATTTGCAGAGCTTCTTCAAACTGTTTGTTTGTTTTATCTCTGTATTGCTTTGTTTTTGAAGAGTTTCTGGCTTTTCATATCCTTCATAATTCCAAAGTTGTTTGAAGTTTGCAGAGTTTCTGCATGTTTTTGATCTCTGTATGCTTCGTTTCTTACCTTTCATATCTTTTATTTGCCAAAGTTGTTCCAAGTTTGTAGAGGTTCTGCCTGTTCTTGATCTGTGTATTGCTTCATTTTGACTCAATTTCTTACCTTTACCACCAAAGTCTGTTTATCTGTATTTTGCCGTAAACCTGTTCTTCAATTTCTTACCTTTCCTTCTTTCAGAACAAACACCATGGATGTATTTGGGATCTTTATCTCTCCATTCATACAAGCTATGGTTGATAAATTGTCCTCTTATTTTAGCAACTTAGTGAGCACGGTGGACATTGGCACTGGCATCCACAATCTGAAGAAGGCATTAGAGGATTTAGAGACTCTGTTGGCTGATGCAGAGAACAAACAGACATACCACAAGGATATCAAAAAGTGGCTTGAAGAGGTTTACCATTTGGCTTACGATGCAGATGACATATTGGATGATTTTGCCACTGACGATCTCGAAAGGAAGCTAATGGCAGATGAGACGACGATCAAAAGAAGACCAGCTAAGTTTCCACGCCTCTCCGATATTGTTCCATTCAATTTAAAAAATGGGTCAAAGCTAATTGAGATTACTAGTCAATTACAAGAAGTTGCTACAAAAGGAAAAGAACTTGGTTTAGATAACAGACTTGTTGGGAGGATGTCTACAGATTTACGGCAGAGATCACAAACTACATGTTTGAAGGAGCCTCACATTCATGGCAGAGATGAAGACATCAAGCAAATTATCGAATTGCTGCTTGCGGATGCTCCTGCTGGAAACTTTTTTGATGTAATTCCTATTGTAGGAATGGGTGGGATTGGCAAGACTACACTAGCTCAGCACATTTACAATGATGACCGAGTGGAAAATTATTTCAATCTAAAAGCATGGGTATGTGTATCTGATGACTTCGAAGTTACAAGGATAACAAAGGCAATTCTCGCGTCGTTCACTCACGGTTCATGTAATTTTAGTAACTTAAATGAGGTTCAAGTTCAACTCAGCAAAACGTTGGCAGGGGAAAAGTTTTTGCTTGTCCTAGATGACGTGTGGGACTATGGACGTGATGGGTGGAATTTGTTACGATCCCCATTTGGAGCTGGAGCACCGAGTTAGGGTTTTGTATATATTTTATTTTATACTAGTGTTGGGCAACATAGGTCAAATAAATATATAAATATACAAAACATATATATAAGTTATATGCAACTCAAATGGTAAGGGTTTTATATATTAACCTTGTGGTCTAGAGTTCAAGTCACACCCTCCTCTCTCTCTACATATATTTTTTTATAATAAATCTTGCCTCTAAATTAAATACTTTCACCATAAATTTATTTTAGGTCTTTAAAATTAATTAAAAGACCCTCCAAATATTTAATTTGCACTTTAGAATTCACCATCAAAATATTTGAGATTGTAATATTATTATTTAATTATTTACTTAATTTTTATATTCGGGTTCTCACAAGAAATATTGAGGAATACAAAGAATTGGAATCAATTGGTAAGAAAATTGTTGAGAACAGGTGCAGAGGCTTACCTTTGGCAGCGAGGGCTCTTGGCAGCTTATTGTGCTGTAAACAAGAAGAACGTGAATGGAAAGAGATACTAAACAGCAATATATGGAATGAGGAAAGTGGCATTCTCACCGCATTGAAATTGAGCTACCTTCATCTCCCTGTCCAGTTGAAGAGGTGCTTTTCCTACTGTGCAATTATCCCAAAGGACTACGGATTCACGGAGGAGGAATTAGTTTTGCTATGGATGGCTGAAGGTTTAATTGAGCAACCAAAAGGTGGAGACCAAATGGAAGATTTAGGCCGCAAGTATTTTCACGAATTGGTGTCAAGATCATTTTTTCAACTGTTAAGTGGTAACAAATCCCTATTCATAATGCATGACCTCATCAATGATTTGGCTCAAGATGTCGCAGGGGACAAATGTTTTAGGTTGGAAAATAATTTAGAAGGTGGCAGGCAGAGCAAGATTTCTGTCAAAGCTCGACATGCATCTTATGTTGGTAGCTACATTGATGGAATCAAAAAATTTAAAGTTTTTGATGATGCCAAATGCTTACGAACATTCTTACAGTTTTTTCCACTGAGTTTCCATGCAACGAGGTACTTGTTTCATGATTTGTTGCCAAAGTTAAAATGTTTACGTGAGTTGCGTTTACATTATAATAGCATGGATGAACTACAAGATTCCATTGGAGATCTAAAGCATTTGAGGTACCTTGATGTATCCTGTTCTGGGATTACAAGGTTACCTGACACGGTAGTAACTCTCTACAATTTACAAGTCTTGTTTTTGAAATTTTGTCATCGACTTCGGAAGTTGCCTCCAAACATAGGGAGGCTAGTGAACTTGCGCCATTTTGACATGACTGGAGTGCATATTCCATCATCAGAAGAGATGTCGCTACATAGCGGTAAATTAACTAATCTCCAAACATTATCAAATTTTATGGTGGGTAAAGATTGTGGGCGTAAAATAGGAGAGTTGAAAAACCTATCGCACATTCGAGGGGGAATACAAATATCAAGACTGGAGAATGTCAGTGGTGTTAAGGATGCAAGGGAGGCCAATTTTATGTCTAAGGAGGAGTTAAACATTCGAGGGGCAATACATATATCAAGACTGGAGAATGTTAGTGGTGTTAAGGATGCAAGGGAGGCCAATTTTATGTCTAAGGAGGAGTTAAAAGAGTTATCACTAGAATGGGGTAAATCTCACCGTTCACAGAATGACATAGTTGAGAGGGATGTGCTAGATGTGATGAAACCTTTCAAATTGTTGGAACGACTCACCATCAGATGGTATGGCAGTACAAAATTTCCAAACTGGGTTGGAGATGTTTCGTTCTCCAAAATGGTGTACGTGCAATTAAAAGGTAGCAAATGTTGTAGATCTTTGCCACCACTTGGACAACTACCCTTGCTTAAAGACCTTTGCATTGAAGGAATGAGTGCAATAAAGCGCTTGGGTTGTGAGTTCTACGGGCAGCAGTGTGGTGCCAAACCTTTCCCCTCTCTAGAGAGACTGAGCTTTGAGTTTATGCCAGAATGGGAGGAATGGTCTGCTTTTGAAACAGAGGGAGTTCAGCCGTTCAGTCATCTCATTGAGCTTTCCATAAAAAATTGTCCCAAACTTGTTGGAAGATTACCAAATGATCTTCCATGTCTCAATTCTCTCAAAATTGATGGTTGTCCGCAGTTGTTGATTGATGTTTCGAGCCTCGTTCAGCCATCACTTGCGTCCTTGTCAATGAATAATGTTATTCTCCCAAGAGAAAGCCATGTTACAGTTCTCAACTCCCTCTGTGATCCAAGCACAACTGATGAAGAGTTACTGGCTAATGAAATGTCTAACCATTTGACTTCAATAACTGCCTTGAGCATTTCTGATATTGAAAAACTGGCATTCCTACCAACATGGTTTACTCAAGATTTGATGGGACTCGAGAAATTGGACATTAGTAACTGCCAAGAACTCATAACATTGTGGCGGAATAAGGTGAGAATACAAGTATGTCTCCCTTCCCTCTGCCATTTGAAGATTTCTCATTGCCCTAAAGTCGTTTGCTTGTTTGAAGAAGAGCAAGAAAAAGGAGGAGAAGGTTGGAAAAGGCCAATAATCTCAAATCTTTACCTGAAGCCAATAATCTCAGGAATCTCAGTGAATTGCAGATAAACTATTGTTATAATCTGGAGCCCCTGTCACTTGGTGGTCATGATGAGAACAACAACAACATGAACCAGCTCAGTTCGCTTCAAAAGCTGTGTTTATATAAATGCAGAGCAGGAATGGTCTCCTACTTTGTGAAGGAAGGGAGTTTCCCCACCAACATCACTTCCCTTGAAATCGGGGATTTCGTCGGTCAACTTCCAGTTCCGCCTCCATCTCCATTAGAGTGGGGTTTGCACAAACTCTCTTCTCTTACAACACTCCAACTTCAAGGCCGAGATTGGCCGTGGAGAGATACGGTGTCCTTTCCAGAAGAAGGGATGTTCCTGCCCACCTCTCTTCTCAATTTGACCATCCTCCAGTTCCCAAATCTGGAAAGACTCTCTTATGAGGAGTTTCAAAACCTCACCTCTCTCCAAACACTTGAAATCTGGGGTTGCCCTAGGCTCGCGTCCTTTCCAAAGGAAGGGTTGCCTCCCTCTCTTTTGCTTCTATCGATCTATAACTGCCCTGAGCTTGCGACCTTTCCAGAACAAGGATTGCCGCCCTCGCTTTTGTCACTGGACATCGGGCGATGTAATCCAATACTGAAACAGAAGTGTGAAAAGGGAAAAGAATATTGGCCCATCATCCAATACATTCCCAATGTAGATCTTAGGTAGCAAGGTACAAAGGAACAAACACAAAATCTGTCATACCATTTTTATTTTGTATTTATTTTTTCATTATCAATATCATCTTAGATTTTCATCACAATTGAGAGGTTACTATCTATTTCTTTTGAATCGTAAGAGGAAAAATTTAATTAGCTCAATGTATAAATTCAATGACAATTATATTCTAAATAAAAATGACTATAATAGACATCCAGCAATACCTATAATATTATATAGAAAAATTTCTTATTCATATCTTTTAAAAATTATGATTTAATTTTTTGACCGGATGGGTCTTGGCAATGAGCTTCTGTCAATTGTTATTTTTATTCTTATTAATATTCATTTTATTATTGGAAGTTAGAAGGTAGGAAAAACTAGTTTAAACCAATTTGACTAGCAACTAGGATGCTTTATTTTTTTATTTTTTTTATTTTTTAGGGCAAGGTAGTCTGCCCTCGAGCGTCTCCGTCTTGAAATCTAATATCTAATTTGGTCTCTGCAACAAACAATGGATTTGTGATGCTCTGATTTTGAATGGGTAGCAACACTGAGGGAGGTGCTACCTTGCTTCAAAAAAAGAGAGCACATAGACCGAAATAACCTATCTTTTATGCCAATAGAGTGCACATAGATCCGAAAATTATAAGTGCAATAATAAATATAATAAGAAAATAGAAAGATTTCTTACATTCAACACTATTTTGGAGGATTTACAATGGTCTTCAATGGAGATTTAATGGAGATCTTTTGTGACGCCCCAAAATTTGCGGACATTATAATAAGGTTTAAAACTTAAAATCAATTTTCTTAATTAAGAATTTCTAATCATTGTTACCACCAAGTTTGTCATCTTCCATTAATTAACAAAAATAGAAATTAAATGCTGTGTTTGGAGAAGCTCTTCAAACACATTTCTACCCATTATATTGGAGTGTGTTGTTTGTTTACAATTTTCAAAAATTAATTCCACACTCACTTTTGAAAACTCTTTCCAAGGTGGGAAAATTTGAGCTAACCAGTTGTCCTCCCGGACGTCCAATCATCCTCCCAGACGCCTGGTCAGTTGACCAGAATAGTGCTTTTTTTTTTAACAATTGGCACCTGGTATTTTTTATATTTTAAATAAAAAAAATTTTGGAATTTTATAAGTTTTGAATATAATTTTGAGTTGTGTGTTTGGTTATAAGTTATAAGTTTTTGTATCAAATATCACATGTCATATCAAAAATTTTTCACTCAATTCAAAACTCATTCACCAAATAAAATTTCCACACTCAAATCATAATTCCAAAACTTACAAACTCAAAATACAACTCTATTCTCAAATCATATTTAGAAAACTCCACCAAACGCTACCAAAAGTTCTTAAATTACAACTCCAATCAAACTTAAAACTTAGTCTTAGTACATTCATGAAAGAAAAACACAAATATAAAAAAGAAACCTAGAGAAAAACTAGAAAACTCAAAAAAATGGTTCATGGGACATGGACACACTTCAAGCTAATCAAGGCTGAATGTCGCCTTCCAAGACCTCGGTGTTTCCTTCAGTTTCTTTGGTACCGGACATAAAATGCCAGGGCAACGGGAATGCCAATGAGCGACGAGCTCAATAAGTTACTATAACCCGAAATACCCACCCCGATAATAATACTCACAGTTAATGAATATTGTGTAGTAATAGAGTAACAAGCAGTGTTTAATATGCATAACAAGAATGCTATTAGTTGAAATAATAACAATAGACAATAAGAACAATGACAAGCAGAAGCAGTATTTCATCATAAGGAAGATGCCAACTTTTCTTTATAATTCACATAGATTAGTTTATCGAGTGAGTTTAAGTAACTCCCCGTGGAGCATTATTTCCACTCAACCGCTAAACAATGGCCACGGGCAATTCTGACTCCCCCTTGGTAAAATATTCAAATGTTACTTGCTGTAACTACCAATGATGCCCACGCACCAGGGTTACGTACTCGAGTCGTGACATCACGGTCTGCCCCAAGGGAACAATATATGTTGTGACACCCGCACCACCAACCTTATATCGCCTATACCGATAAGAGCCGAAATACCTTCCCGTGCCATGTTAGGGTTCGCAACTCACTTGCGCAAGACTCTAAACTGGGCTCACCCCATCAGTTTTAAACTTTAATGCATATGTTCAATTTCGTGTTTCTTTACTTTGTCAAACTCACATTTTGATGCATGTGCGAGTTCTAGTTTGAAAACCATAGTAACATAAGGTTTATATAGCACAGCACAACCATGTATGACAACCAAAATAAGTATTACTAAATGTCTTAGGAGTCATCACAAAATTTCTTAGAATTTCCCACACTTCTTATTTTCAGCACTGAATGATCGGACTAAAATTAATGAAACCCATATCAAACGAAATTCAATTATTACGATATTTTAACTGGTACTAGTTAACTGAGTTAGGAAAATATTTTGAGAGAATACCAGGGCTAAAAATGATTTTAAAATGGAGAAATAAAATTTGGAAGAAAACTGTTTTCTGGGACAGTGAGTTACAGCAACTTCCAACACAGGTGTTCTGTGTTTGAAAAATAAAAAGGGGCCTCAAACAGTGTCAAAAAGAGGTATGGTCAGAATGGTTTGCTAGATATTTGAGTTTAGAACATATGTACAGAAGAGTTTGAAAACTAAAAACCAATGGAAGATGATCAAATAATTTTTCTAAGAAAATTGGACAGATTCTGTCTCATTTTAGTAAAATTGCGATTTCTCCTCTTAGACTTATCCATTTTTTGTGAAATCAGCGGAAAATGAAAGATAACTCTTATATCTAACTATCCCAAGTGGTCGTGCAAAAAAATAATATTTTCAGAGAAAATGGAACTTATTTGAAGTCACTGTTCCTACTGTGTTGTAAGCAACACTTAGAACAAATATTTATTTCGGTAAGAACATGGTGTCCAATGATTTTAGAAAAAATTTACACCGTATAAAACACCTATATATACTCCTAGTAAAAACAGATTTTTGACCCAAGTTATTTTCAATTTATTTGAGCATTTTTCATCCGATAAAAATCTGAAACAGGGAAGAAAATATAAGTTTCAAGTATAGGTGAATCAACTGTATCTAATTTTACTCTCATGCAAGATTATTTCAAATAATGGAAAATGTTTGAGCACGTAAGAAGATAAAATCAATTGCTAAACCATCTAATCTATGCTTGCAAGAAGGAATAAAAATCATATAATCATGAAATTCTTATTCTATCAAAATGTAAACATGCATTAAGCTATTCTTGCTATGTATGTATTAACAATGCATACTCTTGCATACATTTAATATATAGGTTCAGTAAAAAAAATATTTAAGGAAGGATAGAGGTTGAGTATTCCTACCTCAAGAGCTTTTGCAAACTATTCTCACGATTAGTTTTGAAATGGTGACCAACAAGCACCCTCTCATCTTCCTCTCTTTTTCTTTTTCTTTTCTACTCTTTCTCTCTTTTTTTTCTCTTTGCTCAGCCGTAGTAGTAGAATGGCTGAATAGTGTTCTTATTTGTAGGAGTTTGGAGGCCTATTTTTATTTTATTTTTTCCTCTTGGCTTGGGAAATATTACCTACAAGGCAGGCCTTGAGTATGTTTCTTGGCATGCCTTGACAGCAGCCTCCTTGGGAAGAAAAGGCAGCCGAATGCTTTGTCCAAAATCTGATTTCTTTTTTTTTATATAAATAAAATCAATGTTTATATATAACCTATTCACTAGATGCTTTGCTTCTTACTGTCCTCCGACTAACTTATTTATTATCTGTTTAACTGATTTAAATCATTTAGTTTTCCACAACTGTATTTATATACAGTCACAAAAAGATAAATAAATTTATTTAAAGGAGTTTAATATTGGTATTAATTATAATGCTATTAACATTATAATTTAATAATTTAATAATCACTATTAATTGACTTAATATTGTTATTAACAAACTAATTAGTTGTCTAAAAATTCAAGTTCTTACATCTTCTATGCAAGTCTTCAATGGAGGAAATTTCACTTCAGACCAAACTTTTCAAGGGCATGGGTGGGTCAATGTGGAAGTAGGGTCAATCAAAAGTGTGTAGGAAGACGGTTAGTTGTGTGTGTACAATGGTTATGAGTGAAGGGTGTAATTGTAACTTTAAGTGTGTGGATTAAGAAAATTAATTGGTAATCAAATTAATAAGTGAATGTATTGAAAAAAGATGTGCCCTGAGCTAATTAGATGTGTGAAAATAGAATTTCTCTCGCAAGAGAGTTCCAGTTTGTTGTGCATGTTGAAATTACCAATACATTATTGATTAATTAAACACACTGCTCTGTTTTTCAATTCATTATTTGTCTTTTCCTTTCAAATATTTCCTTTTCTCTTAATTTTCCCTTAATAATTGTGACATCCCGACTCTCTCATATGCTTTAAGTGTTTACTTATATGTGTGATTATATGCTTGATGTGAAATTACATGTTTAAATGTATGACTTACATGATTATGAAATTGTATCTGTCGGCTATAAGAAAATCTGTTGAAATTACGACATTTGGACTGAAAATTGAAAGTCTTAGAGGCACGATAAACCGAAATCAACTTTATAGTTATGATTAGCATAATTTTTAGGACATGATATAAAATTTTGTAAAAATTTGATTCGTAACGAATTAATTGGGTTTAATTGTACTAAACTCTTAATTAAGCTTGACTTTAGACTCAAATAAGCTAATCCTTAGTTAGACGAGAGATATATACATGAGCTTAGTCTTAAAACTTAGACTCCAACACAAAAATATCTCCTAGAGGAGAGCTAGAGGAAGAAAAGAGAGAGAAAAGAGGAATTTCACCTAAAGCTTGGAGATTGAAGAAATTGAAAGAGTAATTCAAAGAATTAGCTCAAGCTAAGTGTAAATCAACTAAAATACCTTAAATATTTCTTCAATTGGTTAAAATCAACACTTAAGAGGAAGCTTTGACACTCATAAAAGTTAGGGT